TGTCGATAACTGGAAAGGTGCTAAAAGAACATTGTATTATAAATATTTTAGACCGTTTTTGAAATATATAAATTTACAGATTTAAGTAATAGAATTATTTTTCTTTGGTGTAGATCCTCGGACAAAAGGGTACTCGGACGATGGCAAATTTGACAACGAAAATTACCGTGCTGTATATAGTTTAATGACTAATGCTGACAAGAGATCCATGGCAGATATTTTTAGAAGAGCATTAAAAACAACGTACATTCTTTTTTTTTTGGCCACAAGAACTGAGATGTTTGGAAAGAAACTGAAAGCAAGCCTTCCAGCGCTTTTGAAGAGCTCGATGTTTACCTTTGTTGGTGGAATGATATTGCGTCATCAGCAAATGATTCCTAGCAATAGCTACATGGTATGAAGGCTTCAAAATTCAATTTATAATTTGGTATTCATATTCTCCCCTTAGTCAATTAATTAATCCTGCTGTCAGTTTTCAGAAGAACGAGAGCATGAATGTGTTAGGACTGGTGCAGCCCTGACGACAGTTTCTAGTCTTTTTAATCACAGTTGCAATCCCAATGTTGATTGGAATGCGATGAAGCAGCAACTAGTTTTTTCTGCTCTTTATCCAATTAAAAAAGATGAACAGGTAATTAATGACAAACATCTTTTTACATTGCTACACAACAATGCGATATATGTCTTCTCCACATTAAGCATTATGCCAAAAGGTCTCTTAGGGCGATGTGAAACTGGCGTCGAAAAGGTTTTCTTTATGAAACTTTTCTTCGAATTGCGTTTACTGAAACAATCTAAACTTTACAACGTTAATATGGAGACTATCGGAAAAATTCTAAAACTCATGAAACTTCAATTTTTTTTTTTTAATTTGTTTGTAGGTATTTTTCAAAAGTTTCATGTACGATCGACCTCTCAGATGTCACTTTCACATCCCCTTAAGAGATACCTTTTTTATGGCATAGTAAAATTCATCAAATATGTTTTCTATGTATCATTAAGATGGTCTTTACTCGTAATTTGATAAAAAATTTTAGTTGTTCGTTAGTTACGGATTTATGTATGTCACTATGGAAAAAGAGGCTAGACAGAAGAAACTCAAGGAGCAGTTTTACTTTGAATGTCGTTGTCAACCATGCGAAGAGAATTGGCCTATGTACTTTGAACTGATGTCGTATACGGTAAGTCATAGAAATGACATAAAAGAAATTGATCTATCCATTATTAAACTGACAATAGGTACAGTTTTGTGCATAAAAAGTTTCAAGGGGTTTATTACTTCACTTGTTGCAAAGAATGCACTAAATATTTGGATCGATGATCGATACAAAATATTTTACTTTACAATCAGCATTTTTATAACCAATGCTCATTTGTTTTTTCGATCATAGCGGTGTGTCACTTCTCGACGTAAGGTAGCAGTAATTAAGAAAGCTCTCAGAGATTTGAGTCGATACAAATACCTAGCAGATGTGGGGGATATCGAGTCTGATCCAAACATGTTAAAGAATCTGTTCAAGATGATCGAAGTCTTGTCTGAATGTGCACCTTGTAAAGAGTACAGCGACGTCATTGAAACAATTAAACGTGTCATTGCTTTACGAGGAAACTCGTTTTTCATATCGAAACTTCTGCTACCGTAAGTGCTTCATACATTAATTTAGAAATCCTGCTGAAACTACTTTTAGAATGACTGAATCGAATGAGTTTCTCAACGTGATATGAAAGGCGCTGAGAAATATAATCAACGTCAATAAAATAAAATTCATCCATACCCTTTTTAGTAATAACGCCATTTTGGATATTCAAATGGTAACCTGAGCTGGCGCGTCACGTTACCGATATTTATATTTATGTTGAGGTCTTTTGCAGCCTACGTTGAGAATTATACGAAACGAAGCGTTCTTTATGTAATTTCAGTAGGATAATTGTAAAGAGTCCGAAGTAAAACTGTCGAAATCCCGTGAATCATGACTTTTTATCCTCTAATGGACCAAGGGCGCCATCTGTGGCGTTCAGCTCCAACTAAATTTTTGTTCGAAAAACGTGGCGTTACCCCCAGGACAAACCAGCATTCTCTTGCAATCGTTGGAGAATGTATTTTCCATATCTTTCCATCTGGCTCTGTAATATTCTATTTCTATGCTATTCTAAATCCCCTCAAATCATCTTCGGTGTACACAAATTTAGCCAAATACATTTATCTTATTGAATTGACTGCAAAAATTGCTGAAATTGCTCCAAGAAAAGCTCAAATCATATATTTTTGACAAATGTAGTAGAACATATCACCTTAACGTCGTTCACCACCAAAGTGGGGACGATAACTTCCACCGCTAGATGGCGTTAGCATAGAATTCGGTGGGAGGTAACCAAAACGTATCGAAGATGAATCGTTGACCTGTGTTTATATGGGAGCGATTTTCGATCGAGCACCTTCCTAGTTAAAAGGGCATTGAAATTATGTCGTTGCACTTTTTTATATGAAAATGACCACTTATCGAAAATCGCTCCCATATAAACACAGGTCAACGTTTCATCTTCGATATGAGCACTCGTTAAGCTCGATCGGTTTAGAAATACGTTCGGAATCGTTGTCCCCGTGAGGCCCTGCAAAATCGCTGGAGTGGAGAGCGATTTTAAGGTGAAGTGAAACCCCCCCTCAAATAAGTCGATTCGAATAAGACACTTTTTTTTAAGAGTATTGGATCGAACTACCTGAAACTTTGACACTTGAATCGTGAGCCCCTAGGAATTATCCTGACACTTTCAAAATTCGGATTTTTGGAAAAAAACTTTTTAACAGTCCAGACCAGAACCAAAATGGTGTCGCGCTCTCATATTTCAGTCGATATACAATTATTGAAGACTAATGTGGGAAACAAAAGTGTCTGGACAATTGTACGACAATTTAGAACACTCTGGTAATCGAGAAACTCGCATTTGAACGGGACAAAGTTAAATAAAGTGCCATATGCGCTGTTATATTGAAACGATGGTAATACGAGGTCTCGGAGCAAAAATTTAGTTGACACGGAAATCACAGATGGCGCAGGGTGGCACGTAGAGTGCCCCAATTGACTGTAGAAGTCAATTGGGGCATCAAAAGTCACGAATCCGGAGGATTTCCAGAGTTTTACTTCGATTTCTTTATAACTATTGTACGGAAGCGATATTTGGAGTATGCCATTTAGTACAATACCCAATACAATTCGATACAACTGTTAATACAAATATGAACGTTGGTAACGTAGGTATTTAGAAAAAATCTTTTTTACCGACGTTCATTAAGTTCCTCGACGTGTGTCACTTCACCTTAATGGCTATTTTCCAAGGTAACAATTGTTTACCCAAATATCGCTTTTCGTGATCAGGATGCCATATGTATTTGGTTCTTTTTTGCAGATGAGTAAAATGAAATCGTGAGAACCACAGAAGACAAAATTTATATACATGTCATATCAAGGTAATGTTTACAGTTTATAGAAACTTGTACGGTTAAAACTGTACTGAAACGTTTTTTCAGTTAATATTTTGCAAAATAAATTAACGAACATAACATTGTTTTTTTTACATCACATTACGTTTTCACATCATAATACCTTCATCCGTCCGTTGAATATCCTTGAAAAGATAAAAAAAGAATGTAGTATACTGTAATGGTATGCAGCTTGATCCGTGCCTATGCACCGAAAAACTGCATCCTTCGAGGGTTCGAGCCCCACGATTCCTGAGACCGAAATTAATTAAAATTCTAATATATGAAATAGAAAGAGACTGGCGAGAGAGCGAGGAGAGCGTTCACGAACGATCAGCTGAGCGTGGAAATATTATAGAGAGTCGGGAGGCCTGTCGACCGAATCCGGATTTACCGAGTTTTTCTATCGTTAGAGCCTTTGCTTCCGCACCGTTTCGCACGAATTGGCGATTTAAATTTCTCAGAAAATTATTCACTTTTCCGGATCACTTTAATTAAATTAGGTGCAGTCCTAATTCAATTATCGTGTTTCCTGTTTTTCTGATTCTGGCTACCGGGAAAGGAAAGATTGGAATTTGACTCTCAGTGAGAACGGCTTATCCCATTATCGGTGCGTTCTATAATTTCATCATTGAATCATCAGGATTTGGAATAATGGAATTTCAGGTTTTGGGACAAATTTAGACTGTTAAGAGGTTAGGGAAGTTAGTCCCTACCCCGTGCCCTAAGTTTGCCGACCTTCCGTTTTACTCGATCCGTGCGCAGAAATCTATTTCTAACGCCGGACTAGTTGAACCGAATTTGAGGTTCAACAAATAGAAAGAGAACAACAGAGAACAAATATTCTAACCAATAGCAAGAGACTCCAGGAGGCGCAGCGTAGATGCGCATAAAAATAGTCGGGACAACTGAACCAAAGTGAACCTAACCTCGATTAGTGGCAATATTTTCACAAGTTTCGATTACCTCGAGTATTAAATCGCGAACGTGAGTTTGTGAGTAAAAGTGTAACTCAAGAACAGTTTGTAGTTTCTTCCTATAATAATTGTAATAATTAAGTACATTAAATGCGATCTATAGATCGCATTTAATCCATCCACATGAAAGTAATCATAACAAAAATTAAATTTGTATAGAATTTGTATATTTATACATTCATAATAATTAATATTTTTATCTTAATAAATATGTTACTTTTTGACTAATGTTTAATGTAATTATTTCAGTTCTTACAGTGATTTAAAACAGGCGTTGCGCCACTGACACTTTTGTTACTTCTTTTATGTTTAATATGCCGTTTTCTTACATTTGTGTATGTCAGTTTAAGCAACGTCTGTTTTAATCATTGCAAGTACTTTTTAAATCCCAAAAATATCCCTCCGTTTAATAAATGAATTTGAATAGCCCGCCAAATATTTTAGTTCGCGAAAAAGGTTTACTCCAACCGAAGATGGCGGTAGTGCATAAAGCGTTACACCCCAATGCATGGAAGTGTTGACCCCCTGACATAGTCAAAGGACTACATACAGGGGGGTGTGTCAATGTTATATTTATTGCTCCATTCGTCAATAAGTATCAACAATATTTGTTAGAAGGTAAATGGTTATTACAAATTTAAAAATGTTGAAAATGATTCAGAGACAATTTAGAATTCCTATGTTATCATCGAACGAAGTTACTGTTTGTAACCCGTCAGACACTTGAGGTTTGATAAAATGCCGCGCAAAATATTTTGAAAGGTTAAGCAATAATTTGTTTAGCTTTGTTCAGACTACTATTCAAGTCATCAGTAAATCAGAATATAGTACGACACGTTCCAGAATATCGTCACATTCTCTGTGTTTTATAAGTTGTAATTGCTAAATAAATTCATTATTCATTTCTCTATTACAGAGATGTTGGCTTTTTCTTCCCAGCATAAATTTTATTGTACATCATTTTGAGATCAGTTTGAAAAAATATTTTGATGATGTAGTAGTTACTATTCGTTCAATCGATTCTTTATGCGTGTAGTGACTTAATCGCTGGAAGAATTCCAAATAAAAAAATGAATATCATTGGAATTCACTATGCTATAGGTTTTCGTAAATTCTAATCTGTTAGAGATCACGGATATCACCTACAGATTTTTATTTGGAATCAGCATATACACAAAGGATACGTTAACCCTTTGCCTTACGATTTCAATTCCAATAGCGTGTGGCATAAACAACAAAAATGTCGGTAATACGTCGGGCCATTTCACGGTTTGGCTAAACATTCGAACTCATACGTCTCTCATACGTTTTGTTTACGTTTGGTCCGATTGACATACCACATCTCTCATACGTTTTGTTTACGTTTGGTCCGATTGACATACCACGTCTCTCACATGATATTGTAAGTGAAGAGGTTAAACTTTATTCGTGTCATTGATAGAATTTAATTTTAGGTTATTAATTTATGGGTTTTAATTTGAGTTATCAATCCAAATGCATTATTAACCTTCAGCGCACCGTTGGCTCTGCTACGCGGACGTTCGTCATACGTTAAGAAACTTGCAGAGCGCTACGGTTTAAACTGAAGAAGTTATAATGTAAGCAATTGTTTACTCGTTTTAATATTACGAAAAGGGAAATTTAAATTAGTTATTGCAGTTCTATTTGCCGTTTATTCGTGTATATGTAATGAAATTTGTGTCATCAAATTTCAATCACCTAATGGATGAATATTACAAAATGGTAAATAATGTTCCCTTTATTCAGGATCATAGATTTTCGTAATGTCACGAATTTTTGAATCGGTTTCTCCTGGAACCATGTTCAATCCCACTGATTTAAAAATATTGCTATTACAATAGTCGCGTTAATGATTACATCGTAGTATTATATTAAAGTAAAATTACAAACATTTACAGCATTATGTTCTTTACAGATTTCTATTAAAAACCACTGCTTTAATATCAAACACTTTTGTTAGTATCAATGATTAAACATAAGTTTGATACAGGAAATCTTGGATTTCAATTTCAATTGTTAAGTTGAATGTAAATTTTAAATTGACGAAATTATAATCTAAGGCATTGTTTATTGATTTTAAGGTGATATGAAAGATTCAGCCCATATGTACCTGGGAAATAAAATCGCTTGTGAGAGTATTCCCCGAATTGGATGTACCGATTCGTTTTAAATCTTACCACGTGAACATGGAGGCCCCGAAGTAGGTTCTGAAACTCACAAAATTTCATTTTCAATCGCAATAATTTATTTATCATAGATTAGAACCAACCTGGCGTGGCTCGAGCACGTTTTCGATGTTTTACGCTTCTTGGAGGCTTAGAACCGGAAAATGAAGAGTTACAGGACCTAGCATGAACAATTTAGAATAATATAAAAATATAATATTACAGAGTCAGATGGGAGAATAAGAAAAATACTTTCACTAACAATTGCAAGAGAATGTTGATTTGTTCCATGAGTAACGCATGTTTTTAGAGGAAAAATTTAGTTGCAGCTAAATATCACAGATGGCGCAGTGAGCCCATTAAACTATAAAAAATGATTAATCTACATAATTTTGACAGTTTTACGTCGATCTATGTACCATTGTTTTACTGAAATGACATATGGAACGCTTTGTTTTGTATAGTTCTAAACGTAGAGTGTAACAGTCTTGAACATAAATATAAATGTTCGTAACGTGACATGCCAACTTATGTTACTACTTGAGTCTTCAAAATGATGTTACCATCAAAATGGGTATAGATGAATTTTATTTTATCGATGTTGATTAAATTTCTCAGCGCCTTTCATATCACTTTAATCCTTTGACTGCTAAAGATGTATATATAATGTAAATAATATATAAAATATATAAATTAGTATATTTGGACGGAATATGTTTTTACTTTTCAGTGACAAAGTATGGCTGATTCATTGCAACTCAATCTCGACTCTACCGAGGATGACACAAAAGAAGAATTGTACAGTGTACGTGATGGTATGATCTTTATAATCGATGCTACCAAAGACATGTTTGAACCGGATAGTGATTCTTGTTATTTTTCTCAATGCCTTAAGGTAAGTCACCAGGCAGTGTATTTCGATAACTTTGAAATCAACTTATAACCTTAAGAAATCTGTTTAATGATTCCAGATTTATCAGAACATTTTATCACAAAAATTAGTAGATAATAAGCAAGATTGGATGGGAATCACACTTTGTGGATCAGAGAAGCATGATCAGGATTTGGATATTAAAAACATTTTAACTGTGCAAAAACTTTCTCCAGTAACAATTGAGATGATGCAGATGATAATGAATATATGTATGTTTTTTAAATTGATATATTTGTTGTCGACAAACATTAATGGGCTTAGAATATTGCGATATGTGTTTTAATCACGATGACATATAAGGAGCTCCCTCTTTGATATAAAAGTAATCTGATATTTCCTCCCCAAGTTAACCAACGGTAACACAGTAACTCTTGCAGAAATGTTCAATACTTAAATTTTCACACATTGTCATTATGTCTACAAAAATACATGATATTCGTAGAACTTTTTAAGGTGAAGTGAAACCCCCTTCAAATTGGTCGACTCGGATAAGACACTTTTGTTTAAGGATATTGGATCGAACCATCTGAAACTTTGACACATGACTCGTGAACACTTAAGAATTACCCTGACATTTTCAAAATTTGGATTTTTGAACAAACATTTTTTAACTCAGCACTGACCAGAACCAAAATGGCGTCGAGCTCTCATATTTCGATCAATATATAATTATCGAAGGCTCTGATAAGAGAAACGAAAGGGTCAGGACAATTTTACAATAATTTAGAACACTCTGGTAGTCGATAAACTCGCATTTGAACGGGATAAAGGTAAAAAAAGTGTCGTATGCGCTTCTATGCTAAAACGATGGGAATACGAGGTCTCGGAGTGAAAATTTAATTGATCTGGAAATCGCAGATGGCGCAGGGGGTCCCTCTGCAGTGAATTAGGGCCCCAGAAAGCATGAATCCAGAGGATTTCTGGAGTTTTACTTTGATTTCTTGATATTTATTGTACGAAAACGACCGGTGGAGTACGCCATTTGGTACAATATCCAATATAATTCGACACAGCTGTCAATATAAAAACGAACGTCGGCAACGTAGGCATTTAGACAAATTTTCTTTATCGACGTCGATCAAGTTTCTCGAGGTGTTTTACTTCACCTTAAGATGTCATGTAGATTTCATTCGGAGATATCTGAAGTCTTTGTTGAAAATCCCAATGACATATGTAATTTTAATAATTTATAAACATATATAGGAATTATACTTTTTAATTTGTGAACAGAATGAAAATACATTTTTTACTTCACGATTGTTATCGGACACTCCATTTGGTATTAATAAATATGACAAATTTTTCTGATATTTTCGTACCGCTATTTCATTATGGGAGCAAAACGTGTGGTTTTTATTGTAAATAATTTTAAAACGTTTATAATGTATTCGGCAGATAATATTTAAAAAATGCTTATATTAAAGTGGAAGTAAATGTTTTGTATATCTGTTAGAGAAATATTATGAAAGCACATGGGGCCAATATTACACAAATATGTATGAAGATAATATTCTAAAGTAAACGTTTTGCAAATATTTCAAATGTCTGCTAAATATTTACAAAATGTACTATATTTTTTAAATGTATAAAAAATATAGGACAAATATTTTGTGCTGCCAGGGAACGCTTGGTCTAACAAACATGAAATTTAGAAAAATATTATGAAAGCACATGAGGCCAATATTACACAAATAGAAAGAAGATAATATTCTAAAGTAAACGTTTTGCAAATACTTCAAATGTCTACTAAATATTTACAAAATGTACGATATTCGTTAAATGTATAAAAAATATACGACAAATATTTTGTGCTGCCAGGGAACGCTTGGTCTAACAAACATGAAATTATCGTGAGACGTCCATTGTGCCATCAGAAAGCTTCCACTGCCTCAATACGTTTTTTGACTCAAAAGATAATATTTATAACGTTTGTTACAATTGCCCCGTGTTACATTTGACCTCGGTCTCCCCTATTTGTAACATAGTGCTTGATGGGTTCTTATATATTTATTATAACTGCTTATTTTTTTTAGCATTTTAACGGGAGGGTCCCCTTAATGACAAGTATATACATTTTGGAAAACTTTCAGCGAAAGATTGCAAAGCATACGCCACGGAGATTGGCCACTCGAAAAATTTTCCCTTACGTAATGGATTATGGTATGCTAGTCAACAGTTCAGCGCTGTCAATGTAACAATGGGTATGAAAAGCGTCTATCTAATGACAACGCAAAGTGATCCATTTAAAGGAGAAGATGCAGAGAAACATGGCGTCAGATTGCAAGCTCAAAGATTCAGCGACATCAATATAGATTTTCGCGTAATTGGGCTGGGACCCAATTGGGACGAAAATGTCTTTTTCAAAGACGTAGAGCTGATCTCTGGTAAAATTCAGGGAGAAGATTACACAAGATTATATCTACAAGATTTAGAGTTGCAAGTGAAGCAGCCATCAACAGTTATGGCCAACATTCCTTTAAGACTCGGTGGTGTTAAGATTCCCGTTACATTGAGTGATTTATGTAGGTAATGTATATTTTTCAGTTTTTATCTTTATGAAAAATTGACAGACATTATCTGAGTTGTTCCTTTAATTGGTGATGACTTTCGGGAATCACCCGCGCCATTGTTAGGAAAAGAGCATGATCTAGCTAGAGAAAAATCAATTTTCAAGTTGTTACGAAATTAGAAAAGAAGCATTTAAGGTGAAGTGAAACACGCAGAGGAACTTGATCGACGTCGATAAAGAAGATTTTTCTAAATGTCTACGTAGCCGACGTTCGTTTTTATATTAACAGTTGTGTAGAATTATATTGGGCATTGTACCAAATGGCATACTCCACCGGTCGTTTTCGTACAATAATTATAAAGAAATTGAAGTGAAACTCCAGAAATTCTCTGGATTCGTGCTTTCTGGGGCCCTAATTGACTGCAGAGGGACCCCTTGCGCCATCTATGATTTGCAGGTCAATTAAATTTTCACTCCGAGACCCCGTATTACCATCGTTTTAGCATAGAAGCGCATACAACACTTTTTTTGCCTTTAAGGTTAAGTGAAACACGTCGAGGAACTTGGTCGACGTCGATAAAGAAGATTTTTCTAAATGCCTGCGTTGCCCACGTTTGTTTTCATATTGACAGCTGCGTCGAATTATATTGGGTATTGTACCAAATGGCATACTCCACTTGTCGTTTTCGTACAATAATTATAAAGAAATCGAAGTAAAACCCCAGAAATCCTCTGGATTCGTGCTTTCTGGGGCCCTAATTGACTGCAAAGGGACCCTCTGCGCCATCTGTGATTTCCAGGTCAATTAAATTTTCACTCCGAAACCTCGTATTACCATCGTCTTAGCATAGAAGCGTATACAACACTTTTTTACCCTTATCCCGTTCAAATGCGAGTTTATCGATTACCAGAGTGTCCTAAATTGTCGTAAAATTGTCCTGACCCTTTCGATTCTCATATCAGAGCCTCCGATAATTGTATATTGATCGAAATATGAGAGCTCGACGCCATTTCGGTTCTGGTCTGGGCTGTTAACAATTTTTTTTTAAAAATCCAAATTTTCAATGTGTCAGGACAATTCTTAAATGATCAGGAGTGATGTGTCAGTTTCGGACAGTTTGGTCTAATACCCTTAAAAAAAAAGTGTTGTATTCGAATCGACTGATTTGAAGGGGGTTTCACTTCACCTTAAAGCTACTTTAATGTTTCTATTTTGTCCTGCACACATGTCACTGTAAGCTATAATGTGTATTTCACTTGTTAAATTTTTAACATGTTTTAGGATGCATGAAACTATTTCTTGAGCACCGCTTGATGCAATAGTTTCATCTCAAACGTACATGCGAACATTATCGCTCTGAAAATTGTGAATACCCAAATTTAGAACGAACATATAGATTGGACTTAGGCCACATTCAAAATGATGGTTTTAATTATTGAACTACCTCTGAAAACTTGTGTCCAAAATTATCGTATTTACTCGGAATATAATTAACCTCAAATGCTATATCGATAGATAACTTCAAGTTGTACATGTAACTATGAGCAACCGAAAATAATTGACAAATGGATTTAGGCCACTTTCAATTTAAACGACTCATTTTGTGCTACTAGGGTTGTGAATACCCAAATTTACAACGAACACATAGATTGGACTTAAGCCACTTTCAAAATAAACGACTCATTTTGTGCTACTAGGGTTGTGAATACCCAAATTTACAACGAACACATAGATTGGACTTAAGCCACTTTCAAAATAAACGACTCATTTTGTGCTACTAGGGTTGTCGGGCCCGTAACATAAGACAGTTCCTTCGCTTCCAGCTCTCATACGCGTGAAAACCCAGAAAGAGAAAATAATGTGCCGTTCTCTCTTAAATAGTCCTGAAATATATTTGCAGAAAAATATTGTATTCTTCTCGTATGCGTATCGACAAAGCAACTAATGAACAATTGAAAACGGTGGGAGTTTTTGAGAAAGGGAAGACTGAAGAAAAGAAGGACAGGGAAGAGGATGATGAGGAAAAGGGAGAGGTCTGTTTTTTTCTTTATCATATTTTAGCATTAATGCACATTTTAAACCATTTTTCTACTACTAAGATTATATTTTAATCACTTTTTATTTTGAAACAAAATATACAAAGCTTCAGTCATCATTTTAGATTACAATTTAAAACTATTCAAAGTAGGAAATATTAAAAGAATGTAGAGGTCACTGTTTTGCGTAAACATGAAAGTGTTCATATATGTAACAAGGTGATACATGGTATATATTTTAGCAGCTTGAAAAATAAGCGTGAATTTTATAGTGATGCATCGAGAGAAAAAGAGCTGGTAAACTGGACAATTTGACCCTGTTAAAGCCATTTTTGTTAAAGTAGATTTATAATATAACGATAAAATGCAATTTATCGTTTATTTAATTATAAATTGGCAGCTACAACTATTTTATAATAGTTGAGCATCCTTCTGGCTCTTGTACGAATTTTGTAGTAACGGTTACAATCTTTATAGTAAAGCTTTTTCCCATTTTGTAACAAATAGGTTACCTTTTAAGGGGATGTGAAAGTGGCATCCAAAAAGTCAATCGTTGATGAAACATTTCTTCGAACTAGGTGTACCGAATCGTTTCAGACTTTACAACGTGAATGTAGCGGCCCTAAGATACGTCCTGAAACTGATGCAATTTCGTTTTTATCAAAAATGTTGGAAGCAATATAAACAAATTTTTTAGAAATTGAAATTTTATGGGCGTCAGCATCTTCATAGCTTCCTCAGTGAACACTGTTATATAGCTGCTGGGTAAATGTTATGTTTTCGAAACTAACATGTTACGTAGCATAAAAGTAATATGGAAGTTAGATGTTAGTTATTATTTCCCACTCGGTAAGGTAACATGTTATATTAATGTTACAATTTCAGTTACTATAGAATAATATTAACTTTTCATGCATTTAATAAAAAAGATGACGCAATTTTATCCAAAATTATATCATTTTTTATTTTTAATTATTTTTTGTTCCTTGACAATAGTTAAATATTAAAAGACAAATCAGACTTTCAATGAAATTATGTAATGATAAACTATCTGATTTTACTTAAAGGCAATTAGGATTTCATTCGACTAGCAAACAATGACTGATAATGTATATACGCGTATGAATTAAAGTCACATTTTTTCATACAAGTAGTAAACAAAATATGACATATATTAATCTTATGACATTTGACAATGAATTATGACAATGACGATGATGTAATAAAATAAATGACAGTTAGCACCATTGTAGTTCTGTTTTGTTACAAATATGTGTTGCATATACACAGTAATATCAGGACAGTAACATAATGTAAGATGAGAGTAACAAAGTTATGCTACATTTATATAGATATGGTAGTAACAATTGTTATGTAACCTGTTAGCTCCATGTTACAAAACCGTTAAGTTACTGCATTGTAACAAATGTCATGTAACTAGTTAGCTCTACGTTACGTAACTGTTAGGTTATTATATTCTAACAAACGTTATGTTATTTGTTAGTTTTAAGTTACGTAACTGTTAGGTTATGCCATTGTAAGAAACGTTATGTTATTTGTTAGTTTTAAGTTACGTAACTGTTAGGTTTGGTGTTCAGTGGGTTCCGTATTCACATTGTCAGGTTTGAAACGATTTGGTACACTCAGATCGGAGAAAAGTTTCATAAACGAAACCTCTTCACGGCACTATTATCCCAGTGAACACCAAACCTAACAGTTACATAACTTAAAACTAACAAATAACATAACGTTTGTTACAATGTAATAACCTAATAGTTACGTAACATAGAGCTAACTAGTTACATGACATTTGTTACAATGCAGTAACTTAACGGTTTTGTAACATGGAGCTAACAGGTTACATAACAATTGTTACTACCATATCTATATAAATGTAGCATAACTTTGTTACTCTCATCTTACATTATGTTACTGTCCTGATATTACTGTGTATATGCAACACATATTTGTAACAAAACAGAACTACAATGGTGCTAACTGTCATTTATTTTATTACATCATCGTCATTGTCATAATTCATTGTCAAATGTCATAAGATTAATATATGTCATATATTGTTTACTACTCGTATGAAAAAATGTGACTTTAATTCATACGCGCATATACATTATCAGTCATTGTTTGCTAGTCGAATGAAATTCTAATTGTCTTTAAGTAAAATCAGATAGTTTATCATTACATAATTTCATTGAAAGTTTGATTTGTCATTTAATATTTAACTATTGTCAAAGTCAAAAAAATAGTTAAAAATTAAAAATGATATAATTTTGGATAAAATTGCGTGATCTTTTATATTAAATGTATGAAAAATTAATATTATTTTAAAGTAGCTGAAATTATAACATTAATGTAACATGTTGCCCTATTGGATGGGAAATAATAACTAATATCTAACTTCCATGTTACTTTTATGTTACATAACGTGCTGGTTTCGAAAACGTAACATTTACCCAACAGTTATATAACAGTGTTCACTGGGACATAACCTTAAATATTGTTAACTCCTTTTGCTAGATGTCATTTACTCTACTTTTAGTAACCAATGATATAACTAGTACGATCATTTACCATTGTGATTTGGTTAAATGAACTTTCAATTTGTACCGAACGTTACCAAAAACTTTGTTCAAGTTTCAACGGCACCGATAGATGGCGAACCTTTCTCGCAAATGATTTACATATTAGATCGTTCGTTTACATATAAAATATTACTCCGTTCCTAACTGACGCTAAGTAATGCGAGAACATCAACAGGTCAATCATAATAAGTTTAATAAACGTCAATAATTACAAAAAATATTTTTGGAAAAAGAGAACGATTAGCGGAACTATTTATAACAGGTAATAATACTATTTGGGCAAGTAAAATATAAGATGATATATGAGTTACGTTAACAATAATGATGTGCAATTTTGCTATATAAATAGTAAAAAGTTTTGTTATTCTTCCTAGAAAAATATTGTAAAGGTAGAATGGTTAATTTCACTCCTCTCAAAAGGCAAAAGATATAGTAACTGTTACTACATTTCCTAGTTCAGAAAGAAAGTTAATTTTACTATAAAAAGTATCCGAGTCCTTTTTGAACTATGAGAACTAGTTAAAAAATAATTTATTTAACTAGATCTTTCTCTCGGGGTGGATGCAGAAAACACAAGATTTCAGTTATCGATTTCACTATTATGTTGCCAAAAAAATGTCCCATGGATGTTTGATATGTATATCATGACTCAACATAAAATGTATTTACATGATCAACTTTAAATTAATTGAATCCATAATATTTTTATAATGTGTACTTTAATTCATTAATTATTTTTGAATAAGTAGTATTGTTTCTCCGCAATAACAAAGATATTTTATTGTTTTATACAAAAATACTTAAATACTCCTTATTCTAATCACAAATCATACTTGTAATAACAAAGAAACAACATTCAATGTTATTATTCACGTTGTTGGTTCTTGATTACTTTTACAAATCAGTTTTATAATTCTTGATTAGTTTTGCATTGTCATTCTGACGCCACGTGTGTCTTCATTATCGGTTGATTGTCTCTAGTACAATAGATCTGACTTACCGACCTGATTTACGCGCTAAATTCAATAAGATTAAGGATACTTTCCTAACATTTTTACTATATACCTTATTATCGATGATGCATAAATCATACTCATTGCATGGGCCTCTACCATCTTGGTGTGTTTTCGCTGTATTGAATTTTCTTATTTATGTTGGAAGAACTCTGAAATTTATAAAATACAATGTATTTATATGATCAACTCTAAATCAACTGAATCCATAATATTTTTACTATACGCGTTATTATCGATGATGCATAAATCATACTCATTGCATGGGCCTCTACCATTTTGGTGTGTTTTCGCTGTATTGAATTTTCTTACTTATGTTATAAGAACTTTGAATTTTATAAAATACAATATATTTATATGATCAAATCTAAATCAACTGAATCCATAATATTTCTACTATACGCCTTATTATCGATGATGCATAAATCATACTCATTGCATGGGCCTCTACCATCTTGGTGTGTTTTCGCTGTATTGAATTTTTTTATTTATGTTGTAAGAACTCTGAAATGTATAAAATACAATGTATTTATATGATCAACTCTAAATTAATTGAATCCATAATATTTTTACTATACGCCTTATCGATGATGCATAAACCATACTCATTGCATGGGCCTCTACCATCTTGGTGTGTTTTCGCTGCATTGAATTTTCTTATTTATGTTGTAAGAACTTTGAAATTTATAAAATACATGATTTTACGCTTGAAAGGATGAAGAGGATTCAGAGGAGATACTGACATCCGATGATGTCCAGTACGTTCAGACCTTTGGTGGCAAAGACATTTATTTTAATGGAAAAGAAATTAAAGGCCTAGGGAATATACGCCCTCCTGGAATTGATCTACTTTGTTTCAAGCCGTTGAATTTCAATATAGCATACCACGTTGACCCACCGAACATTGTTCAATACAGTACATCTGCTTCAGAGAGTACGTACTTTAGCATATATACACATTTGTTACACGTACCCAAGTAGAGCACAACCTTGGTCACAACATAACCAAATATTGGTCCATTATGTGAATGTTGTCCAATATGTAGCCAATAATTTGCAAATGTTGAAATTCATTTCTATAGTAAATATTGAAGAGCTAATGGAAATTAAACATTCGTTCGATATTTTAAGTCGCACTCCTTGTTTACATATATTGTTTCAATGTTGTTCTTCCCGGTTATATATTAGGTAAACCGAAAAGTAATAAAAATTTTTATTTGTTGGCGAAAAACATTAATTTATTAAAGAAATCCTACATTTTCATCAACAAAATTTTTTCCATCAATTTTTAACACCGTTTTCCAGCGTACAGGCAGTTGTTCGATTCCTTTTTTAAAAAAGTCCTTCGATTTTGCATTGAAAACCTTTTCCAAGTGCATTTTCACTTTTTCAACATTGTTAAAGTTTTTACCTCTTAATGTATGCTCTAATGATCTGAAAAGGTGGTAATCCGACGGCGCGAGATCTGGTGAATAAGGTGAATGAGGTAAAAGTTCCAATCCAAGCTCCCTAATTTTTTCTTGTGTTACTTTTGCAGCATGAGGCCTCGCGTTATCGTGTTGAAGGATTCGTTTTTTGTAATTGACCAAAACAGATCGTTTTTTTTAAGAGCTCTTGTTTCATTCGCTCGAGTTGTTCATAAAACTGTCGTTGTAATGGTCTGACCAGGTTCAAGCAATCCATAGTGTATGATTCCTGAAAAATCCCACCACACACAAACAAGGACCTTCTTTATTGTCAGTGGTGGTTTAGGTGTCGGTATAGGTGCTTCTCTGGGAGAAAGCCATTGTCTTTTTCATACAGGATTATTGTATAGCATCCATATCTCATCTCCAGTTATAATTCATCGCAAAAATGGATCGGTTTCATTCCGAGACTAAAGAGACGCCGCAGATTGTAGGCCGTTGATCGAGTACCGTCTCTGTCAATTCATGAGGAACCCAAATTCCTCGCCTATACAGTTTTCCTATGCGATGAAGATGATCCTGAACTGTAGACCATGGACAGCCTATCTTTAGTAATAATTTCCTAATAGTTTGATGAGGATCTGATTCCACCATTGCCCTCAGAATATCATCATCTCATTTTTGAGGTCGTCCCTTTCGTTCAACATCTTCGAGATTCCTATTTCCATTTTTAAAGTTTTTAATCCATCTATGAGACTTGTTTAGTTTTAGAACATCGCCGTAAGTGTTGTTAATTTTTTTCACTGCTTCGTTTGCCTTTAATCCTTGATCGAACAAAAATAGCATACAATGACGTCAATATCCTTCTTCTATTGTTGGCCTTGACATCTTTCCTCCTTACTAGATCAGACATTTTTTAACCGAAAAATAGAATTTACAACCAAGCTTGACCGTAGCAACAAAACTTACGTGTTTACTGAACCATGTCTCCACACAAACTGACTGCATGAGCACATCGAACAAATTTTGATTACTTTTCGGTTTACCTAATATTATATGTTTTTCAATATTGAACTTGTTGCAAATTTTATATTTTAAAGCCGGTATTGCATTGTCTACCGAAGAACAATATTGCTTCTAAGCTGCTATTTACAGATACACTCCATATTAGCAATATGATAAAAATTCAATATGATACTCTAGTTATATATTAGCAAACATTTATTCCATATTCTTTTATCAATCCCACTCCGACATTTACAATGCAATATTGAAGATTTACGAATTCGACATGGAAATACCATTATAGCACTGATCCGATAAACAATGTTGGTTGTACATTTTTATTTAAGCAGGTTTCGATATTTATAAATATATGCATGAAATATTCATCTAATATTGAAATAGGTGATAGAAATTTTGTTTATCAAGTGCGAATACATACATTTTTTCAATATTTTTTTAGACATTGTTTTTCTTAAATCTGTTCAATGTTCAAATATGCATATTGGTATAATTTTCCAAAATGTTCACAAATGTCATTGGGTAAATATCCGAATTTGTTATATGACCAATATTTATACATTTGAAAACTATATTTAGGCGATATTGTTTTTCTACTTGGGTATTCTTTAAGGTGAAGTGAAACACGTCGAAAAATTTGATCGACGTCGATAAAGATGTTTCTAAATACCTGCGTTGCCGACGCTCGTTTTTATATTGACAGCTGTGTCGAATTATATTGGGCATTGTACCAAATGGCATACTCCATCGGTCGTTTTCGTACAATAATTATAAAGAAATTGAAGTGAAACTCCAGAAATCCTCTGGATTCAAGCTTTCTGGGGCTCTAATTGACTGTAGAGAGACCCCATGCGCCATCTGTGATTTCCAGGTCAATTAAATTTTCACTCCGAAACCTCGTATTCCCATCGTTTTAGCATAGAAGCGCATACAACACTTTTTTGCCTTTATCTTGTTCAAATGCGAGTTTAATGATTACCAGAGTGTTGTGAATTGTCGTAAAATTGTCCTGACCCTTTCGTTTCTCATAACAGACGTGGCAACCGAGAGAATGCGAGGCTGGGGAGAAGATTTAGGTTTTGTCTGAAGAGGTCATACCTCGTACGCCTACGTAACGATTCAAATATCGTTGTGAGAAGATGGTCCGAGCGGCTAGACCAGATCCTCTGGTGGGATTTATAGGGATGAGGATCTGAAGAGGGGCTCAATAAATGGAGGTTGTCAATATATTAACAGGGATGACTGTATTTGTCTTCTGTCAGATAGAATTACTACAAGTCGTAGGGGTCCGTCGGGGTCCTCGAGTCTAATTCTTTCGGTTTCACTTTCGTTCCGCGTTGCGGTGTTTTGTTAGGTCGGGGATCGATTACTCAGGAACGCCGATAGCGATTGCCCGAGGATGTCGATCGGACCGGGCCGCGTGGGTTTGTTTTTGGGACTCGCTTCCAGATAGTTGAAACCAGCCAATGACCTCGTCGAGCAAAGTAATGAAGATACTTTATTTTCGATGCCTCTTAGTTTACAAGAACGACTCGTAGACTCGGTCAACTCAAGGGGACTAGCGCTCGCCCAGAGTTACAGGTGTCTCGCACGCAGGTTACAGAATGGAGACAGTTCAAACTTCGATAGATCAGAGAGCGAACCCTTCGGAGCGGGCCTTTTTATACTAACCTAGGGTGTTCCTAGGCGCAGAGAAGAATGCTTATTGGTGGGTTTTTAAGATCGAGGAGGGAAATATCTCATGTGATTGGCTTGGGGACAGGTCGAAAGGGAAACAGGTGGAAAGCGTCTTTTTCCAGAGAATCTGAATGTTTGACGTTTCCCAGGGCTGTCATCTAGTTTGGGGTGCGGAAGTACTCGGATAAACAAAGGGGATATAAGAAACGAGGGAAAGCATGTTTCGAGGAGCGTTTTGGAGCGCGAGACGCGTTGCTTAGTCTCTTTCTTAATATTGCTTAAAATAAAATGTTAGGTAGGGACCTAACAGTTTCCGATGTCGCGATAAGGCGGTCAGTGGCAGCAACTTACTGGACGCTTAAGAGTATATGAAAGAGCCTATATATGAGCCGTTTATTTTGAAAGTGGCCTAAGTCCATTTATATTTAATTGAGATATTTATGGGTTTGTGTTTCAATGGAATTAAACATATACGTACAGGATACCAATGAGTCATACCGCTTAAGTGTATCTAAAGGAGTTAAATTTACAGTTCCTATTAAAATAATGGCAAATATTAAGTGAATAACGTGCGTTTTCTTACCAAGAATGGAGTTACGCCACTTTCAAAATTAACAACCAGATTCGTTACAAAATTTGAAAGAGCCCAAGTTCATTCGACATAATTTAAAATGCTTCAAATTAAAAAAAACAATACTCAATTTATTTTATATGTATCTTTACAACACTTCAAAAACAATATTTATGCAATTCGGAACATTTTTTAACTACATAAGTTACAAAACAATTTACTGTTCATCTACATTTTGTGTATGTGAAAGAGATTTGAAGAAGTCACGATGTTCCGGTGGTATATATCGTAGTAGGTCCATTATGTCCTTGAATTTCACTGTTGTAATTTGTCTTATATTTTTATAAAGTGGAGTCAATACAATATTTTCGAACTTTCTTGGTCTACCCCGACGTGGTAATAAATCCAGAACTTTAGAATTTTCATTTTCATTCATTGATGTCTTATAGAAAATTTTATATGGTTAATTTCTGGCAAAACGCATCCAACATATTTTTAACCAGTTTATCGATTCTCCGTTAAAATTCTTTACCCTTTTAAAAATTGCGTCTTCTAATAATTTCGTTGATACAAAATCCTCTCGTTTCATTTCATTTAGAATAAAGTTATTCCCTGTCCGGCAATGTTTGATAATATTATAATATTCCTAGGGGACAAACGGTAAATTATTTCCTTTTAATGACGTTTCTATCACGCCAAAATCTCTATCATTTGGTAAAAACGAATGGCGACGTTGGTTCGTCAAAATATTAACAGTCATGAATTCATGGGATTTCGGCAGTTTTACATCGATCATTTTATTTTTACTTTACCGAAATGACATATAGAACTCTTACCATCGTTTTAGCATAGCAGTGCGTATGACATTTTTTTGCCTCTATCCCGTTCAAATGCAACTTTATAGATTACCATAGTGTTGTAGATTGTCGTACAATTGTTCTGACACTTTGGTTTCTCATATTGGAGACCTCAATAATTGTATATCGATCGAAATATGAGGGCTCGACGGCATTTGGGTTCTGATCTGGGCTATATCAACAAATGTTTTTCGAAATTCAAATTTTTTAAGTGTCAGGATAATGCTTAGGTGCTCACGTGTCACGTGTCAAAGTTTCAGACAGGTCGGTTCAGTATCCTTTTAAAAAAAGTGTCTTATTCGAATCGACTGATTTGAAGAAGTTTTCATTGCACCTTAAGGTGAAGTGAAACCCAGTTCAGATCAGTCGGTGCGAATACAACACTCTTTTTAAGGGTATTAGACCAAACTGTCCGAAACTTCGACACATCACTCCTGATCATCTAAAAATTGTCCTGACACATTCAAAATTTGGATTTTTTAACAAACTTTTTTAACGAAGCCCAGACCAGAACCAAAATGGCGTTGAGCTCTCATATTTCGATCAATATAGACTTATCGAAGGCTCTGATAAGAGAAACGAAAGGGTCAGGACATTTTTACAATAATTTAGAACACTCTGGCAGGCGATAAACTCGTATTTGAACGGGATAAAGGCAAAAAAAGTGTTGTATGCGCTTCTATGCTAAAACGATGGGAATACGAGGTCTCGGAGTGAAAATTTAATTGACCTGGAAATCACACATGGCGCAGGGGTTTCCTCTGCAGTCAATTAGGGCCCCAGAAAACCCGAATCCAGAGGATTTCTGGAGTTCTACATCGATTTCTTTATAATTATTGTACGAAAACGACAGGTGGAGTATGCCATTTGGTACAATACCTAATATAATTCGACGCAGCTGTCAATATAAAAACAAACGTCGGCAACGCAGGCATTTAGAAAAATCTTCTTTATGGACGTCGATCAAGTTCCTCAACGTGTTTCACTTCACCTTAATACCTCCTGATTATAACTGTGCTAATTTTGTCTAATTTTCTGGTTTTACTTGTAGGCGAGAAAATGTTATTTGTCGGTTTATTGGTTAAGTGTCAGGAGAAAAATATCATGGGTGTATGTTCAGTGACTATTAGGAAAAACTCGGCACCTCTTTTCTATACAATGATACCAGACATGGAGCACAGTGGATTTTATTTGTACAAGCTCGCGAGTATGGGTTGGTATCCTGTCAATTTTTCTAATTTTATAATTATACAGTATTCATTATAAATTGTCTACAAACATAATTTTATATTTGCATATTATGGATTTTCGTATTTCTATCAGAGATGAACGGGGAGATGTTTCACGCCATTGCACTATGGGCTACGAGACTTGCAAATTCTGCCAAAACTCAAAATATGAACGGATTTGATTGAAAATACTTCCACTGGGGGTTTTCGGGGCCGCTGACCAATGCAGTGCAATAGTTAATAATAAACATTTTTTAGTTTCTTACCCATTTAATACATTCTGTGCGTATAATACGTAATGATTGTGTGTGTGTGTTTGTGCGTGTGCGCGCAACACGATATAATATGATAATANATATTTAGTCTAATAAAACCACTTAAAAAATTACAATAATAAATATTTTAGTAACAGAGCACCACACATGGTGTTTGCGTACCAGCCTGTTTTCACCGGTGTTTTGCTTATTGCATTTTAATTTGAGCAAAAATGGGCATATACGTTTTAAAGTTCATATTATACAGAATACATTATTGCTTTATTAATGGGGATAAGTCGTGGAACATCGGAGAATAAACAATCGTAATGATGATCAGTAATGTAAGAAGAACTTAATTAAATTTCATGTGTATCTATTACATATTTTCGAATTTGTACTTATTTTCGTTACTTTCTATAGAAAATTATTCTGTTTGATGATAAAAACACAAAGCAGTAGCAAAATGAAGCAATAATTATTCAATAAGAATGGATTTCTTTAAGTGTAGAGGATCGAAAAATAACTTTTTTCAATTCAATTGAGCATAGCTAAGTGAATAATGTATTAAATGATGTGCAAATTGCTACAGGGTTGCCTTAACTTGTGTAAATTGCGATAGAATATTCTACTTATGACAATTTTGCCAATGACTTTTGGACATTTTCGAGTGATTCTGGCCCATAGTGTGCATTGTCGAAAGCAAATAATTCAGAAGTCTCCATAGAAGCCCAGAAGGATACGGACGTTCGATGTTCGCTAAATAGTACGTTAGACAACGGATGGCGGCGCTGTAATCATCTCTCTATCTCTCTTAATCTTATGGCGATATATAGCGATTACGTTCTTTCTTTATCTTACACCCAATACTCGCCTTTCTATATGCGTCTCTCTTCCTCCCGTACGTGAGATGTCGTTGGCTAACACGTGCGATCTTTCTTTTACGCCCACTTCTGGTTTGTTAGCCAACTTTTATAGCATGAAGCGCTAACATAGAAGCCCAGAAGGATGCGGACGTTCGATGCTCGATAAATAGTACGGTAGACAACGGATGGCGGCGCGGTAATCACCTCTCCATCTCTCTTAATCTTATGGCGATATATAGCGATTGCATTCTTTCTTTATCTTACACCCAATACTCGCCTTTCTATATGCGTCTATCTTCTTCCCGTACGTGAGATATCGTTGGCTAACACGTGCGATCTCTGTTTTACCCCCACTTCTGGTTTGTTAGCCAACTTTTAGAGCATCAAGCACTAACATAGAAGCCCAGAAGGATGCGGACGTTCGATGCTCGATAAATAGTACGGTAGACAACGGATGGCGGCGCGGTAATCACCTCTCCATCTCTCTTAATCTTATGGCGATATATAGCGATTGCATTCTTTCTTTATCTTACACCCAATACTCGCCTTTCTATATGCGTCTATCTTCTTCCCGTACGTGAGATATCGTTGGCTAACACGTGCGATCTCTGTTTTACCCCCACTTCTGGTTTGTTAGCCAAGTTTTAGAGCATCAAGCGCTAACATAGAAGCCCAGAAGGATGCGGACGTTCGATACTCGCTAAATAATACGTTAACTAACAAATGGCGGCGCTGTAATCATCTCTCCATCTCTCTAAACCTTATGGCGATATATAGCGATTGCATTCTTTCTTTATCTTACCCCCAATACTCGCCTTTCTATATGCGTCTCTCTTCCTCCCGTACGTGAGATATCGTTGGCTAACACGTGTGATCTCTCTTTTACCCCCACTTCTGGTTTGTTAGCCAACTTTTAGAGCAGCAAGCGCTAACATAGGATCTGGGCTTCTATGGGACATCTGAATTCTTTGCCGAAAGCTAGGCACGGCTCACTAACGCCGTGGAACTGCTTTCAAAGGGGCCAAAATGTTCTCTGTCGGTAAAGGAAAACGCGTCTGCAGATTTCAAATACAGCATAGTACCGATAGAATGTAGCTATCGCCTTTTCGTTTTTAGTATCATGGTCGACGTAGGTTGGGATAGAAGACTACGAGTACCACATAAAATTGTTATGCGTGGATGATTGAAATTACGACGCGGCACCCACGTATACCCTGTTTTACCGATAACGAAGATTTCGCCCGTTTGAAAGTAGTTCCAATTTTTACAGAGGTGTAAAGGGCGTAGAGGGCGACAGGGGGCCCTGTCTCCCTTTCAATCAATGGCCTGAAACATCTCCCCGCTCATCCCTGTTCCTACCTTTGTTGCATTCATTGCATATATATCTATATTTTTGTCTAAATTGTATGCCAGTGTTTATTTGTGACGTATAATTTCGGAATGCCTTTGATGCGATAAAACGTTCATTCGGCTTCGGCGAAGCAATATTTTATGTTAAATAAAAATACATTAATTCGGTAAAAATAAAATATGCTCTTTGACTATTAAAATTCTTCCATAAAATGGTTTGTTTGCAGATGGAATAATGTACGAATCGAATTATCAATATAAATTTAATGTATGTGTTACTGTTTGGCACGGATCATTGTTGGGAATTTTGTAACATTGACTGTCTTGACAATTTAAAAATAAACGCTAATTTTCAGAACAAGTGAATGATATCGAGGCAGAGGAAGCCGAGGAGTGGATGACCAATGATGATGATGGACTTCCAATTGATGAAGAAGGAGTTGAACTTTTTGAGGAAATTATTCAGAAAACTAAGTTTATATATCACCAGGATTTATTTCACGATCCAGTAATACAAACAAAACTTGAAGGCATTGAAGCATTAGCACTGAACAAAGAGAAGCTAAGAGATATCACAGACACAACAAGTAAATATAAACCGAAACAATATTGCTTATTAACGATTTACATTCATTAAATTAATTAGATTAAAAGCCAATTCTCATAATGAGTAATTAGTGGTGAATTCACGACTAGAACGGGGTAATTCGAATTTATAATAAGGATTACACACGGAGAGAAAAAAGTTGTTATAATTACTACAATTGGGATAGATATAACAGTAATCGCTGGGAAATATATGGACAGCAGGTCTACAGAGTAATGCTGAAAATGTCAAATGTACAATTTCATTGTAGTACACATTATTACAAAGAATGATTACAGTTACAACAATACGACACTTATATTTGCAATCGTGACAGCATTAAGGTGAAGTGAAACACGTCGAGGAACTTGATCAACGTCGATAAAGAAGATTTTTCTAAATGCCTACGTTGCCGACGTTCGTTTTTATATTGACAGCTGGGTCGAATTATATTGGATATTGCACCAAATGGCATACTCCACCTGTCGTTTTCGTACAATAATTATAAAGAGATCGAAGTAAAACTCCAGAAATCCTCTGGATGCATGCTTTCTGGGGCCCTAATTGACCGACTCGTTCGAGAGTGAAGAGAAACTCGCTCTCAGAAAATTACAATACTTCAGAAAAGATTTAAGGAAATACGCGAGGTGAGGTAAGAGGAAATCACAAAATAAGAGAAGGGATCAAGTCTGGATACTCGATAAATTCGGCGAACTTAACCAGTTCCTAAAATATTCTGAAAGCAAGGTTCGATTCTAAATATCTTTTCAATGACTGTATACAACCTAACTTGGATAACTTTTGGGCGAATATAAATAATCTCAGAAATATTCGCAATTACTCTCTCGCTGTTCGCTCGACGTTCATTACATAAGATATACAGGAAATTAAGTTCAGGACATTTTCCCGAAATGAATCGGAAAGTTACGATATCTCAGGCGTCAAATAAAAATAATAAAATAATATGAGACACCAAAGAGCAAATTTCAGGGAAACTAAGGTAACACAGTAAAATTGTCGGCAGCCAAATTAATAATAAATCGATACACAAAATAAGCATGCGCAATTAAGAATTTACACGATCAGAAATATCAAAGACACTCGCTCGAAATAGAGAATGCCGTTAGAAATATTGGAATATACTCGACATTTTTACAGGCGCCAGAAATATTAGGAGGCGTCTAACCTATAAAATTACGCGGAAGGCAAATTAAAGTTTTCCGATAAGCGGAGAAAAATTACGCTCGAAATCGGGACTTACACCTTGCGCTTACGGAACGCGACGCGGTCGCCGCGCGGCTTCTTCGCCTCCGACCGCGGGGACTCAGGAAAAGATACCGAAAAATATCGCGACGCAACAACTCAAAAATTATTTGACAATCTATTAACAATGATTGACAGAAGGTCTCTCGCGACCTCCGCAAAAGTAGAAATAATTGCGAACAATCTCTCGAAATTAGAAAAACAAGAAAAAATGGGATTTATTTCTCAAACTTAGCAAACGGTGAACAATTTCTCCAAACTCAGAAAAGGCGGGCAATTTCTCAAAATTCAGATAAAGGCGGACAATTTCGGAACCGACATAGGCCTTAGCCTGGGGAGCCTCCAATCTACTCGAAACTCTAATCACGACCGGGACTTTCCTTGTTTTCTTTTATTTTCACTCTACGGATTCTCTACCCCTCATGAACGCGATTCGGTTGCTCGCCCGCGCGGGACGCAGAAGGGCCGCCTTCGCGACTCGCAATCCTGCCGCGCTGTACCGGTCGCCCGAGCCAAGGACCGGCTGAGAGACGTTTCGTTTAGACTTTGGGATTTGAAACATTTTGTGGAGAATTTTGAGAATCGGCCTTTGGGGGATGCCTGGCGCCCAATCTTGGTGTTATTTGAGGAGTCGACTCGGAGAGTGTCTGGTGGACTCCGAGGACTCGTGAGTTCGCGTTTCTGGTAGCCTCTCGAAGGGTCCCGGTGGGCTTCGGTAGGTTACGCGTTAGTGGGGGAAACGATAGTCTCTCGGCGGGCCCCGCTGGAAGAGGTTATGTGCGCACGAGGCCGAGGCGCAGCGGGCCTCGGCAAGGGGTAGATAGGCCCGGGTGTATTTGCCACACGTCACAGGGTATTAAGGTGAAGTGAAACACCCTTCAAATCAGTCTATTCGAATATAACACTTTTTTGAAGGGTATTAGACCAAACTGTCCGAAACTTTGACACATCACTCCTGATCATCTAAGAATTGTCCTGACACATTCAAAATTTGAATTTTTTAACAAAATTTTTTAACTCAGCTCAGACCAGAACAAAAAGTGCGTCGAGTTCTCATATTTCGATCAATATACTATTATCGAAGGCTCGGATATGAGAAACCAAAGGGCCAGGACAATTTTACGACAATTTAGAACACTCTGGTAGTCGATAAACTTACATTTGAACGAGATAAAGCCAAAAAAAGTGTTGTATGCCCTTCTGTGCTAAAACGATGGGAATACAAGGTCTCGGAGTGAAAATTTAATTGACCTGGAAATCACAGATGGCGCAGGGTGTCTCCCTGCAGTCAATTAGGGCCCCAGAAAGCATGAATCCAGAGGATTTCTAGAGTTTGACTTTGATTTCTTGATATTTATTATACGAAAACGACAGGTGTAGTATGCCATTTGGTACAATATTCAATGGAATTCGACACAGCTGTCGATATAAAAACGAACGTCGGCAACGTAGGCATTTAGAAAAATCTTCTTTATCGACGTCGATCAAGTTCCTCGACGTGTTTCACTTCCCTTTAAGCATTCAGTATGGTGTTACCACAAAAAAGGTATAGATAAATTTTATTCTATCGACGTTGACTAAATTTCTCAGTGCCTTTCATATCACCTTAAGCGTTTACGAGCTCCCATTGTTTTGCTTGATTCGGGTATTTGATCTGAAGTTCTAAAGTGATTTGACCATTTAATTTTTCTGTGTAGTTCCACTAGTGAAAAATATGCAAGAACGACTGGGAGATTTACCGGAACAGTTTGATAAACTGTTTGGAAATATGGAAGAACAAAGTTCAGCATCGAGCAATTCAGGCGTGAGCAGGAAGCGAAAAGTGGAAAATTGTTTTTTCAACAAAACAAAAGTAATTATGTGTGAAACTTTAGATATTCTTATACGTATTATATAATTTCTTATATGTTATTTATGTGTTTTACATATTTCTTTTGCAGTTTGATAGTTACACCGTAGTACAATTGAGAGAGTACTTGAAGAACAAAGGGTTGGCAACATGGGGCAAAAAAGCTGATCTTATAAACAGAATTTATCAGAATTTTTCTTAAAATCAATTTAATCGTTGGATAAATTCCTTCAATATTTGTCATATTTGGCAAAATTTAACGTTAATTTACACTCTTAAATTATTTACGCTCTTTAGATTATTTCTTGATACAAAGAGGTCATTTAAACTGCAACGATAATGATCATTCAAAGTTCGTTCTATAGAGCTGTTACACTGATATGTTTATATGCTAATTATTTTTCACTGATATTAATCAACGGTTAGCGCGATCATTATTGAATAACCATATGGAAAAATTATGTAGTGATAGTAATTTCAAAATGTTTGCAGTTTGTATATGCACTTGTAGTGTTGAATATTTGTACAGTGCCCGGTTCATAGAACCAAAATAAATCGATTTCGACAAGGAAAAAAAGAAGAAACGCTTCCTAAATCATTGATAAATTTATTCTGTAAGATAATATACACATATGATATATCAAATTATATACACAATTAATTTTATAATTANGCCTCGCCCCGCCGCCGCCCATGGGTGCCGGGGCCGCGCGGAGTAGGGCCGCACAGAGCCACCCGTGACCCCGCGCTTGACGGCGAGGGCCGAACCATGGCGGCGTCGCTGGGTCACCGCGTCCGCACCCGGATTTCCGGCCCCTTAACGATGGCGGGAGGAGGGCGCATTGCCGGTGGCCGTGGACCCCCCGCCGTGACCTTCGACTCAAGGGAGTAAATAAAAGGGCGGTGAGGGACGGTCCCAATTGCGTCGCCCTCCTGCGCCGAGGCCAGGCCGAGGTGACCCCAGGGCGAAAGAGCCCACTGGTCCCCTCACCCGGGAGCCGTTGCATCAGGGGATGTCGGCAATCCCGGGCAAAACCCCGAGAAATCTTGACTCAAAGGAGTCCAGGACCGACGCCACCGAGTCCTCGAGGAGATACGTCCCTGGACCTGCGGATGACGTCACGCGCCGGCCGCGCGCCCCGATTGGACAGCAGGATCCGCTTCAAATCCGGCGCGCGAACCTACGCCGCGGCTGTCATCACCCAAAATCCTGGCAATTTCGAACGCGACCACTGTCAATTGGCCGACGCAATTTGGCAGCCGACGGCGGCCAATCAACGAGGACGTCGAGCCGTCGAAGAGGATCCGTCGAGCCTTCCCGGAGGACCTCAGCGAAGACCCGGCCTTCTTGGTCCGCGAACGTCGAGCTGTGTAGACGCGTTCAAAAATCTCGCTGCCTTCGCCCGCAACCGCTACCTCCACCAAAAAGGACGCCTGGGGAGCATCGTCGCCGTGGGTGGACCTCCAGGACACCGCGGGAGTGCTGTCGCACTCTCCGAGCCCGAGGTTGGAGTGTACTTTACCTTTTGTTTTCTTGGAAATTTTGTCTACCTTGTTTTTGTTGAATTTCCTCGGTTTTCGCGTTTCCCCGGGTAACCCGTCGTCGGGCCGCGCGCCACGCGGTCGGCCCTTCCGCGTTTAATTGGTCAAGTCTCGTGTGAGCGACCTTCTTGCTAAGATTGACGGCCAAGTCTCGTGTGAGCGGCCTCAATCTATTTTCCCGGCCAAAGTCTCGTGTGAGCGGCCCTTTTAATATTTTCGGCCAAAGTCTCGTGTGAGCGGCCTTTTTGAAATAAATTATCTTTTGCTGCCTCTCTCCTCGGTCGAATCAAGAAGCCGTGTCGACCCGAACTCGAGAATGCTGTCTTGAGCGGTCGACACGTTAAACCCCGTTTATTTCGCGAAGTGCGAATTACCGTTAAAGTCCGTTGTTTCGCGAAGTGCGAACTTCACCTTAAATTCCGTTTATTTCGCGAAGTGCGAATTTCTGTTAAACTTCTTTGGTTTCGCGAAGTGCGAACTTCACATTAATTTCCGTTGTTTCGCGAAGTGCGAATTTCTCATTAGATTCCGTTTTGTCGCAAAGTGCGAATTTTACTTCAATTTCAGTCTGTTTCGAGAAGTGCGAACTTCAGTAAATTCCATTTGGTGTTCGCGAAGTGCGATATCCCCTTGATTTAAAATCCGTTTTCGCGATTGGCGACCCCCTTTAACTTTCCCCCGTTCGAGCTGAATATTACTTGTTTAATCATGCCTGCCTTCGATTAAGCGGTTCCAGTTATATCGACCCATGAATTTATGTCCGGAAATTTCGATGATATTAAAATATTAGTTTTGTTATGTGATACAATTTATTGGATTATAATTATGTCCGCGCCTATGTAATTTATGAAAATTTCATGTGTCCGAAATCTTTTGTTTCTTGCGTTTTGAATTGATTGCGCTGATATTTTGAATTTGCTGCCTTTTCTTGCGCTACTTTGCCTTGTATTTTTTTTGTGTATCGCTGCCTTACTCGCGTAAACCTTGATTGATTTTACTTGCGCCTGCTCTCCGTTTGAATATTTTCTTCGCGAGTTTCGTCTTGTAACATTTCCAAATTTAATTTAGTGCGTGCTATTCTTAATTTTCGTGTTCTCTTTAATTGGAATAATATTCTCGTCCCGTAGTCGAGCCCAATTATAATTGAAATCCGTTTAGCGTTTTGGATTTTTGGAAATTTGGATTTCGCGTTTTGAATTTTGCGTTGTTGAATTTTTGGGCTGTCTAAAGCCACCGTCTCTTTTCCGTGCGCCTCGCCGCGCGCATCGTCCCTTTGAGCGCGAGCGCGCGCTTCGTCGCCCGGACCGGTACCGGATTGTGGGCCCGCCCGTGGCCATTTTGAGATTGTCACTGCCAATATTTTCCATTTTGAAATAAATAGGCCCTTAATTTAATTCCGTCTCCTGTTTGCTTTTTTTGAAAGGACCCCGCCCTCTCCGCGGTCGCTTGGGCGTACTGAGCTAGCCCGGTTTAATTTTCGTCGTCGGCGACGCTTCGTCTCGTCTCGTATCGCTACCGTTAGTTCAATTTTTACGTGTCTGGGACTTTTAAATAATTTTGCTGCTGTTAGTTGAGGGACCGACCCTTCGGGCCTTACGCTGGTGCGAATCCGTGGGCGGGTTGGGAGGCTCATCGCTGGTGCGTGAGCTCCCGTACGCTGGTGCGAGCCCCGACGGATTGGGTCCGTGTGGTTCGGGTCCCGGATTGGCCCTTTGGAGGGCCTGGCGCCCAAAAATTTTGCTGCTGTAGAGCGATTACGCGACGGAGACCTTTTATTAATTATTTATGTGTGACTTCACCAGAGAGTCGGAACCTTAATTGCCAGAACTGTGTTTACGAGTTATAGCAGTAAAATAACGTCACAATACACACAATTAATGTTATAATTAGATGCTGAAAAGAACGTTATTAAGGTACAGGCTATAATTTAAGGTTCATGCCTTCTTTGGGCCATTTACACCTGAAACGATTTTCTTCTTTCTTGTATAGTTTGTTCTTTTATACCTTACTATATTTTTAAATACTGAAATACCAATTAGATACAACAATTTGCGGTGTCAATCACGTGACCATCAACTCAAAATCAATTCCCTTTGTTTTCAAATGACCTCATCACACTAAATCCAGGCTTGATATATCCACCGGAACGTTTTCATCGCATTTCTTGTACTTTTTCACTACCTAGGAAGGTGCGTCCCCTGACGCTCACCCCAAAAACTAACCTAACCTATTCCCGATTGAAGGACCCCTTGAGTACGTACATGTACGCGTTCCGTATGCATGTGAAATTAACGTGTATATAGTCATACTCAAAATGGTCGCGACGTGTTTGACAGCCGTTACGGTCTCAACTTCAAATGTAAATAACTTTATTTCTAGAGATGAGTTTTTTCTTTGGTTTAGTCGTTTTTATCAGATTTAAGAACAAAGGGAATTGATTTTGACTTGATTTTAGGTGAGCCACACATTCTTAAATTTTACCCAATTTGCGGTGGTACTCTTGCGACCGGGAGCGGTCTCCAGCCCCGTTGTTCCGCCCATACAATGTATAATAAACAATCATTTATCAATTAAACCCATTGGTTATATCGACGCTAATTCTGTAATAAACTAATTGATTTTATTCGAGTTTTGTTTTTATAATTTTAAGTTATCGGCTATCACCCACTGAACACCAAACCTTACAGTTACGTAACTTAAAACTAAAAAACAACATAACGTTTGTTTCAATGTAATAATGTAACAGTTACGTAACATAGAGCTAACTAGTTACATGACATTTGTGTAGGGATATAGGAATCGGAGAGAGAGAGATTTCGGGTAACAAAAGATAATCTAAAGTTTATTAAAAATAGGGTGAACTTGTGATGTGGCTTGCGTCCTTCGTTATCGTCGTTGTCGTCGTCGTCGGTTTCGGACTGCTGTCCTTGCTCGCTTCGGGACGGCTTTGGACCTCCATGTCTCTTTTGTTTCGGAACACGTGGATCGCACGTTTCCCGACGTAGCTTTCGAAGGAACTTTCTCTTTTATTGTTTTATGTTTTGCCAGGCGCATCCTGGCAGACCCCTTCAAAGCTTTCCTTAAAACTACCTAAAAATAATTTAGGGCTACTTTCCGTCACTACATTTGTTACAATGCAGTAACTTAACGGTTATGTAACATGGTGCTACACGTTACATAACATTTGTTACTATCATATCTATATAAATGTAGCGTAACTTTGTTACTCTTATCATACATTATGTTACTGTCCTGATATTACTGTGTATATGCAACACATATTTGTAACAAAACAGAACTGCATTAGTACTGTCATCTACTTTATTACATCATCGTCAAATGTCATAAGATTAATGTATATCATATTTGTTTCACTACTATTATGAAAAAATGTGATTTTAATTCATACGCGCATATACATTATCAGTAATTATTTGCTCGTCGAATAAAATCATAATAGTCTAAGTAAAATCAGATAGTTTATCATTTACATAATTTCATTGAAAGTCTGACTTGTCATTTAATATCTATCTATTGTCAAGTACCAAAAAATAATTAAAAATAAACAAATTATATAATTTTGGATAAAATTGCGTGATTTTTTTTATTAAATGTATGAAAAATTAATATTATTTTAAGGTAACTGAAATTATAACATTAATATAACATGTTATATAACATGTTACCTTAATGCTATCCTACTCTAGCGTCGTCTCTTAAGGGCGCTCATTACTCTAGCGATTTTGCAGGGCCTCACGGGGACAACGATTCCGAACGTATTTCTAAACCGATCGAGTTTAACGAGTGCTCATATCGAAGATGAAATGTTGACCTGTGTTTATATGGGAGCGATTTTCGATAAGTGGTCATTTTCATATAAAAATGTGCAACGACATAATTTCAATGCCCTTTTAACTAGGAAGGAGGTGCTCGATCGAAAATCGCTCCCATATAAACACACGTCAACATTTTATCTTTAAAACGAGCACTCGTTGAGCTCGATCGGTTGAGAAATACGCTCAAAATCGTTGTCCCCGTGGAGCACCTTTTTCAGGATTTTCGAG